CTCTCCCAATAGGGACTGATTTGGCCTGAGCCCACAGCTGTCACAGTGGGGCTGGGATGATCAGGAGGGGCAGGTATGAGCTGCAGGCTCTGTTGGACTGTGGGTTTCGGCCTGATCTGTGCAGGCCCACCCAGAGGGAACCCACCTGTGCATGAACTTGTGCACTGTGCCTCTAGAACAATGATGGCGAACCTATGACATGCGTGTCAGAGGTGACAGGCAAACTCATTTATTTGGTTTATTTTTCTTTGTTAAATGGCATTTAAATATATAAAATATATATCAAAAATATAAATCTTTCTTTTACTATGGTGGCAAATATCAAAAAATTTCTATATGTAACATGGCACCAGAGTTAAGTCAGGTTTTTTCAAAATGCTGACACGCGGAGCTCAAAAGATTTGCCATCACGGCTCTAGTATATATCTTAATAATAAAAGGCTATTATGTAAATGGTCGTCAATCCCTTATGCCATAACAACCAATATGCAGGAGGTGCTATAGCTCCGCTCAAGCCTTCGCCCCACCTGGACGGCCCGGGGCGCAGGCAGCATCTGCAGAGAATCACAGTGTGCTGGCAGTGTCCCTGGTGCATCGCAGGGCACTGGCAGCATCCACGGAGCGTGAGAGGTGTTGCAGGGTGGGGCACCAGCAGCTTCCCCAGAGCGTATGAAGCGTCGTGAGGTGGGGCCTCTAGTATATTAAAAAGTCAACATGTACAGTACAATTGTTGAAAACACACAAAGAAGACTACAAAGTCAACATGGACAAAACAACCAATATACAAAGGGCCAAAAACCTTAGCCACTCGCCTGCCTGCCTGCCTACCTGATTGCCGCCTAACAGCGCTCCCCTGCTTGCCTAGTTGTCCACAACTAGCCTCCCCTGCCAGCCATCTTTGACCACATGGGGGCAGCCATCTTGTGTGAGGGCTGAGGATCAATTTGCATATTACCATTTTATTATATAGGATATATAGGATATAGATAGGTGTTAGCAAAAAACATGAGTAGTAGTCTACCTACTTCATGAATATAGAGCTAAATATGTGCCAAATTCTGACATCACTCATTACATTAGTAAAGTTGCAAACTACTGAGTTACGTGGGAATGAGGGGCTGATGTGGGACAGGAATAGCTTTACATGCTTTGACTTTATCACTGCAAAATAAACGGCAGCCTAGAAGATAAAGTGAAAAAGACATAAATGAACGTAAAATGTGACATGAAAGAAATAGAATTAATTTTTTTGAGATCAGTTAGCAGCGCAGCCTGGGAAAGATGTCCTTTCTCCACATGCAACGTTCATGCCAATTCTGCATCCTGGCTACATTATTAGTACTACATCACTGGTACAACCACATCACTGGTACTGTAATATATGTTAGTTATGGAAAACCTATTAGACAAACAGCACAGTCCTGAGTGTACTTCCCTTCACCTCAACATCACAACCACAAATTGAAATTCCCTCATAAAGTTTTCATCCCAACAGGATGGCACAGAGAGGGAATTAACTTTGATAATATTATTTAGAAACATCAGAACTATTTTAAAAGATTCAATCAATAATATAATTTCCTAATAATTCAAAAAATGTATGCCTTACAATGTATCATAATAAAGTGTACATAAGTGAAGTCCACATAATATACAACAGCTCACAGATCTTTTTTAAAAAATATTTTTATTGATTTCAAAGAGGAAAGGAGATAAAAA